TACTTTGCCTCTTACAATGTGAAGTGTTTTACATTTATCTAAACCAAAATGCATATTAATATCGCTACTGAATTCTGTTGTTATATCTATTAATTTCTTCATATCCTTGTCTGTTTTTGCATATAATTTGATGTCGTCCATGTATATAAGATGCGATATTGTTGTTTCGTCTGTATTAAGTTTGAGGCAATATCCGGCCCCGCAGCTCTGCAGCAAATGAGACAGAGGGTTTAGGGCGAGACAGAACCACAGTGGGCTCAGGGAGTCACCTTGGTAGATGCCTTTTGTGATTGAGATTTGTCGCGTGGTGACAGTATTTTGGTTACAATTTATTTGTAGTGTTGTTTTCCATTGTAACATTATTCGGCGTAAGAAATCGATTATTTTCGGATTTATTCTATAAATTTCTAATATTTTTAATAACCATGAATGAGGAACACTGTCAAACGCTTTTTTATAATCAGTATAGGTGCAATGTAAATTTCTATTTTTAGAGGTGGCGTGTTTATGAATAGTGGAATCAATTATCAGCTGTTCTTTACATCCCATGTGGCCCTGTCTACATCCCTTCTGTTCTTCTGCTATTATATTGTGGTGTTCAATGTGCGACTGAATTTTCTTTGTGATAGCAGATGTCAATATTTTGTAAATTGTGGGTAGGCATGTAATTGGTCGGTATTGGGAAGGCTGAGGTGAATTTTTTGTTTTAGGTAGCATATAAGTAATTCCTGTTGCGATAAATTCGGGAGTGTTCTGTTGTCCTGTTATTATATCTGTTAAATTTCTTGCTAAAGGTTTGTGTAGAGACGTTAATTTTTTGTACCAAAAATTATGAATTTTGTCTATACCAGGTGATTTCCAATTATGTAACCTAGCTGTAATGAGTGTTATGTCTAACTCTGTAACCTCTTCGAATACCATTTCGTCAATAGCTCTCCATTTTGCTTCCTCTTTAATTATCCAAGATGCTTTATCATTATGTTGTTTTTGCTCTTCCCAAATACTCGCCCAATATGCTTCTAGTTGTTCTTTTGTAGGTAGGTTAGGTGTATGTGTGTTACGTTCATCGATTGTGTCTGTTTGTGGTTTGTGTAAGTTTCTATAAAACAATTTTTCGTTTGTGGCAAATGTGACGTTATCTTTTTTGCGCTGTTGTGCTTTTTTATACCTTTTGAGCCTATGAACTTTAAGTGCTAATTTTTGTTTTAACGTGTCTAAAAATTCTTCAGGTCTTGTGTTACTTTTTTCGTGTCTGGTATGCGTAGCATTATTCCTAAATATGACCTCTACTTTTTTGACTAGTTTATTAGATCTACAACCGTTAATATACTGAGTGAGTCTACCTATGTTTGCTCTTAATTTTTCAATGTCTTTTTCTAGTCTCTGTTGCCATGCTGGTTCTGTATTTTGTCTTGTTCTTGTAGTTCTTGCATTGTCTGTGATTTTAAAGTTCAATTCTTCGGATATTACTATCGCTGTGCAGTATATAAGTAAATGTATGTCTATAAGTTGTGTGTCATCAGATATATATTGTGTGAGTATAGTTTCATTAAATAACTTAACCAGTCGAAACAGGTTAGGTGTGTACTTAAGTTTAGGTAATCTTGGTCGCGCTGCGGGATCCATCCCAGAGTATAACGTTATTGTTGTTCTAAATTTCTCATTGATTTCTTGGATATATGTATCTGCTGTTAAGTGTTGATCTGGGACAACTATGGTCTCAATGTCATTTTCTAGCGTTAGGATTACGGTTTCGGTTCGTGTGGATGTGTGTGATATTTGTGTCATAATGGTCGCATGGCTGAGATTGTGTATAAATGAGTTGTAATTGACTGAGCAATTGTGGTTGTACTTGGCGATCATTTTCACTTGTGTTTTGTGTGATATTAGTTTCTACATAGTTGTTAGTCGCTTCTTCTTGAATTAATTGTGTTCGTACTTCTTCTTTTAATTGATCTATAACTTCTTGGGATAGAACTATGGTTCTTATTTGGTCTGAGATTCTTTGTTCTGAATCAGTAATTTCTGGATATTGTCGAGTGAAATGTGCGTGTAATTGTTGTCTGTACGTGGTGATATCTGTCTCTAATTTAGTAATGTATAGATAAGTTCTCATGATAAATAGATTTACTTCTTTACTGCATTTCATTCGAACTCTTGCTTTTCCAGCCTTGGTGGACGCGGGTAAGAAGGTAGATACCTCCCGCGCAGCACTCAAGGTCGGAGTAGGTGGAACTGTATTTAAACTAGTAATAGGGGGTGATGGAGGTGTTGGTGACGATGGTATGGATGGTGATGTTGGCCTCGAGGGTGTGTATGATACTGTGCTTGGACTATATGGTTCTACAGGGGTGTCTGTCCTGTCCGTCAGTCTGTCACCATCGTCAATGAGTTCGGCTGTAGTATCTTTGTGGGTGGGAGCCCGCCTGTTCAACTCCTCACCGCTGACGGATCGCATGCTGTGACACCCAGCGTCAGCTCCAGGTGCACCCCGGCGATCGCCCCCGGGCAGCGGCCCTATACGTTTAATTTTAGAACAAGTCTCCATTTTATTTATGGGTTTCCAGAGCCACGTTAGCCATGCCAGTAATTTCTCATTCGTGTGTCCGCCCCCCACGTGATTAGATGGTCAATCAGGACGTGTGGTTGTTTAGGGGGCTTATTATTATTATTGTGGGGTATCTATATAGTTTTCTCATCTGGTTGGGTTCTATAAATATATAATTATAAATGAAAATGAAAAGATAAATATACATAAATATCAATAACATAAAATAAATATAAAAGTACATAAATAAATAAAAGCCCAACCAGATGGAGGCCCTCGGCAGGGGAGACCAAACGGCCGAGGGTTAGGGGGAAAGGGAAAGAAACCGGCGGACGATGCGGGCGGTATCGAGGAGCACCGCCTTCTGCATTTGAGCCTGGAGCGGTCCGCCACGTAGTCCCAGCCGCCTCAGATGACCCGAGAGGCTGACTGGGATTAGCCCGTTTGCAGAGACGACTACAGGAATAATTTCGGTCGGCAGACCACCCCACATGTCGGTCACCTCGTGAGCCAGGTCCAGATATTTTGTTTGCTTGTCTGTTTCGGCTTTCACGAGGTTCTCGTCATACGGAATGGTAATGTCGACCAAAAATATCCTTGACTGTGCCCGGTCCATCAGCACAATATCAGGCTTATTCGCAAGAATAGTCCTGTCTGTGATGATGGCCCGGTCCCAATAGAGCCTGGCGCGATCATTTTCGAGCACGGCTTCCGGCAAGTACTTGTAGTACGGCAATTTCCGGTCCACGAGACCGTATTTCAGAGCGAGCTCCTGGTGTAGAATTCTGGCTACTAGGTTGTGCCTGTGCAAGTACTCAGAGTTAGAAAGCGCCGAACAACCGGAGATAACATGCCTAAGTGACTCACCGGGATGGCGACAAGCTCGACAGATGTCGACGGTGCCATCCTTTAGGATGTATCTCCGATAGTTGTTGGTCTTAATAACCTGATCCTGTATTGCACAGACAAAACCCTCGGTTTCCCCCGAAGAGATCACCAAAGCGTAGCCAGTGGAGGGAGGCTACTGTGTCTACGAAAGGCTCATGTAGAGCCTTGTAGAACCTCCCGTGGAGCTCCTTCTCCTTCCATACGGTCTCCCGGTCGGAAATGCTCTGCACTGCCGGGTCTTGCCATTGCTCGTTGGCTAAGGATAGGGGGGTAAGTCCTTTATCACAAGAAATGACGTCCTTATAGAATGGATCATCCGATCTCGCAAGGAAGTAATCACGGAGGCTGCACACTTCGCGATTATGCATGGTGAGCGCGCTCAAGAAGCCACGACCACCATGCTTCCGCGACAAGTACAACCTCATTACCGACGATCTCGGATGATGCATCCTATGGGACGTCATGGTAGTGCGGACTTTTCTATCCAGGGCGTTAAGTTCAGTCTGAGTCCACCTGAGTATGCCAAAGGTATACATGAGGACAGGCATGACCCAGCCGTTATATGCGTGTGCCTTATTCACACCGGACAAAAGGCTGTTAAGCACTTTGGTCAAGCGTGCATAAAACACGTCGCAAACTGACTGTTTCATACCAGTCTCATCGATACCGATGTTTTGTGACATACCCAGGTATCGGTATGTTTCAGCCTCAGAAAGGGTCCTTAAGTTGACGGGCATAGATTAAGTCTACGCCCTCAGAGTTAGCAACCCTTCCCCTTTCAACATGGAGGACCGCACACTTATCCGTCCCAAGCTCCATTCCAATGGAATTGCTAAATTCACAAGTGATGTTTAGCAATTCCATAAGATGGGAGCGACTGGAGGCGAATAACTTGAGGTCATCCATATAGAAAAGGTGGGTCACTTTTGTCCCTCCTTTCCGTAGCTGAAATCCCCTCCCGGAGCCCTCCAGTAAGGTACTGAGAGGGTTCAGAGAGAGGCAGAACCAGATTGGACTCAGACAATCGCCCTGGAAGATACCCCTTCTTATCCTTATGTGGTTCTCCGCAGCCATCATCCGCTCGCCCAGATGACAAAGGATCGTACTCCACTGCCCCATACACTGCTCAAGGAAGTCTCTAACTGTACAGTCTATCTTGTACAGCTCGAGGACTCTCTTTAGCCATGTATGGGGCACCGAGTCGAATGCCTTTCTGTAGTCTATCCAGGCGGCGGAGAAGTTCCGACGGTTGCGTTTCACCACTTTGCCAATGACCGCGTCAATGAGGAGTGGTTCCTTGGTTCCACGACCACCGCCCCCGACATCCATTTTGAGCACGCGACATCACCTGATTTGAGTCCAGGTGACAAGTGATTCTCGCGCTCAAAATGGATGTTAGTGTCTTGTATATGGTCGGTAGACACGTGATGGGGCGGTATTTGCTCGGGTCTGTGGTACCCTGGTCTTTAGGAACCAAATGAGTGATCCCAGTAGTGAAGAGGCTTGGGAGCGACTTCTGGTTGAGAGCCTCTTGAAACTGTCGGGCAAGCACAGAGTGACACACCATGAACCCCTTCAGCCAGTAGTGATGCAGCCCGTCAAGCCCCGGACTTTTCCAGTTCGGGGCCCTACGGACCGCCTCAGCTACGTCATCCGGCGTTATGATGACGGGGTCCATGGGCGTAATACCCGCACACTGACTCGCCACAACTTCCGTCCAAGGGCCCTCGCTGTGGTTTACGGGCTCTGACCACAGGCCGCGCCAGAATGCTACAGTGTCGGCCTGATTCGGTGCTGGACCCGTTCCACTTACCATTGGTCGCTCCAATGATTCATAGAGCCTCTTCTGATCACTCTGGAAGAGACGATTCTGGTTGAACCGTGTCGACCTCTCGGTATATCGCCGAATCCGCTTTCCCCAAGCAGCGATTCTCTGCTTCAGATCATCTATGCGCTCCGTCAGTTTTTGCGTTATATCCGGCTGGGACAAACTGACATTTGTCCCAGCAAACGCCATCCTGACGGTGCGCACAATTCTTGGCCTGTTGTTGCCTGATCTGAAGCATATCAGTCTGCCGATGAGAGCTCTAGCCTTTGCGATACGTTCCTCAATTCTTCTTCTCCATGCTGGGATAGCGCTACTATAGCCAGTAGCGCGTCCAGCCGTGGAAACCTTGGCGCCTATGATACGGCAGACTGCCAGCGCGGCGCCAAAAAGAATTGAGTCCGTCTCGCAAAGGTCCCGGCTGGCTTCCAAATAGGTCACCAGCATTGGGTTCAGAGCCCTCACGACAGCCCGATTCCGCTTGCTTAGGGCTATGCGGGGAAGTCGCGGTCGATTTTCGAGAGGCGTACTGCGCGTTTCCACAATCGCCTCTTCCAATGTACTCCTCATATGCTCTAATTCCAGTTCCTGGGCGACTGTTCCATCATCGTTTGAATCAACCACAACTGGGGTATTCACGGCGGCATCCACGTTTGCGGGTTGCTCTACCATTTGTGGCGCCGCATCCTCAGCCGTAGCATTCTCATCCGACGAGGGAACAGCCTCACGTCGTAGCCGTTCGAGTTCGGCGACATCAAATATATTTGAGCGCAAGATATACCGAACTCGGTCTGCCAGGTTTTGCTCTGTGACGGTTAAAGATGGCTCCAGCTCAGCAAAAAGACGATGCATCCTAGCCCGATACGCCAAACATCCAGTTTCTCCCCCTTTCGCCCCAAAATACGCCCGCAATGCGTTGCTGTTCATCTGGGTTGTCCAACGCATGCGGCGAACTCCACCAGAGGCGGGTGCCGATTGCTGGGCCCGCGAAGACCCTGCCGACACCAAGCCAGCTGGTGGGGATGATGGATGCGAGGGGCTGCTGGGTGGTCGTGCAGCACCTCGCGCTCGGCTGGCGGTTCGCATGCTGCCGCGTCCAGCGCCAGCTCCAGACGCGCCCTGGCAACCTCCAGGCAGCGGCCCTTTGCGCGTTCTTCCGTATTCCATCATCCATAGTGGTGGGCGTCATTTAGCGGGAGACGCCCAGACCCGGCGCCGTTTCATGGTGAGGCCATGTGCACAAGCGGGCCTTTGCACCTTCAATTTTTGCCGAGTTATTATTATTATTATTATTATTATTATTATTATTATTATTATATTGAAAAATATTATTATTATTATTATTATATTGAAAATAAATATCAATACTTTTGGTACATGAACATCCGTGAACATCCCTATGACATTGGGATATTCAATATACCTTCGCATCGAATTCACTCGATGTTTACAATACGATGCATCGGATCGATTCAATAGTTTAGAAAGTTATTGATACCACCCGATGTATCAATTTATTTTCATAAAGCATAGAATATATAACCAGGTATTACTATTAATATTATAACTAAAATCGATTACAATATAAGTCATAATATTAAACGTGTTGGTCAATCTTTTAATTAGAATCAAGAAGTTGTCATTGACTGATTAGCAGCACTGGTTAGTGCCAGATAGAATTTAGAAATAACTTTTATTCTATTTCGGTGAGCTTTAAACAAAAATACTAAATTGCATTTGATTTTAATTGTGTCGTAAATGTGCACACTTCACAGAGCGGTAAAGAAGTTTTGTATGTGAGTAAAATACCATTGTTTCCGTACATGTTCGATTGGACAGGTAAGTATAGTAATGAAGTTGATTTTTAGATTTAATTAAGTTATTCTCACATTACAATTAATAAAAAATAGTACAATTTTGTAATTTAGTGAATGAAAGAATAAATAGAAGATAGTTTGTTATTTGTAAGACACTTTATAATACAAATTATCTATATTTTATTGTATAAATTTCATCAAATTATTCACGAATCCAATCGCGGAACTAACTATACAAATTCAGTTGTAAATTAACAAAGAGTTTGTACAATTTGCTTAATTAAACAAATACAGTAAATGAATAAAGTCGGAAAAATACATGATTTTGAAAAAATCTCGATGTTTCTAACCAATGCATTGGAATATATCGATGCACAGTCGCGACGCATTACATCGAAAAAAACCATCGATGTATTTTCAAAGTGGACACCCCTAAAATGACATATAAACAGGATAGCATAAAAAAGCTTTTATTCGTGAGCGATGTTTTATGAACGATGTTTTGGCTTGCCGTCAAAGGTTTCGAAATAACTAATTATTTGAAGGTATAAAATTCCGTATGTTAAAAGTTGCAAACGATGATTATCACGAATCTTATATCGCCGAAAAATAAATATACCAAATAAATATATCTCATAGTTAGATAATGTCTAAATTTTTAAAGTTAGAAAGTTTATTTAGCAGAAATATCACAATCCCGAAAATTTTAATTACGAATCAAGAAACAGGCGAATGGTCTTTCAGTCGAAACTAAATTGTACTCTCGACTTAAATACACTTAAACTTCAGAAGTGCCGGTTATTTTATTTTTGATGTAAAACTGTGTTTATTTTTATTGTGGTAATGAATTAACATAAGTTTACAATTAATATTGAAAATGGATTGGAATGGTTTTATTAATTTTTTTATTAATAATTATATTGTTTGAGCTTTAACTTAATCAATAGCTTAAGTACAGTTTTTTAGAGTAATAGTTATTTTATATTGGAAAATGTTTTATCGGCTTACGGTACTTCGTATTTCGTTACAATCACTTTTCTGAAACATTGATTTTGATGGATGAACGGTTATTCAACTGCTTGTATTTCGGTATAGTTTAGTAGATGTTTTCAGAAAATGCGATAATACTGAAGGTGACATATGAAATCACCATAAAGAAGTAATGCACCAAAACATAAGAAATAAAACTAAAGCAGAAGAAGAGTTTCATATATTACATGCGTTGGAGATGTGTGATGGCACGAAACGGTTATTTCCCGGGCTTCATAGCCTAGCTAAGATCTATTTGCCTATAGTGGCAACTTCGGTATCCAGTGACTGGTTATTTTCAGAGGCTGGATCTACAATCACCCAGGAGAAACCGCTCACTAGGCGCCAGATTGTTAAAATTGTTATTTTAAATTTCAATTCGAAAGAAATAAACATAAAAGTAAAAAAAAATTATTCTTGTTTTTTGATAATAATTCGATAAAAATAAATAGTGTAACTTCAGTAAATAGTTAACTTCCTTAAATAACATAAATATAATGTTTGATTATTATACTTCTTTTTTCATTTCTGTACAAAATTATCATTATATATATATATATATATATATATATATATATATATATATATATAATTTTTTTTTTTTTTTTAGTGGTGATAAAAACATCGAAAAATTCAATATATCCAACATAAGCTTCCATGTTTTAATGAGCGATGTTGCATCCTTGCATCCTATAGATGTGCTTACTCGGAAAAATTACGACTGGAGGTCACTTGAGTTGAAATTCATGCAACTCGAACTAAATTCGAGTTAGCAGGACGAAACAGAGTAATAGATTTGTTACAAATTACTTTTATGAATTTGTTTTTCTATCTAACTCTTTGGTGGGTTGGGTCAACTATCATTACTAAATTTAGTAGTAGTAAAAAGGTATATTTATTTTGTATTATATACTTGTGTATTTTTGGTTTTAATCAATATTAGTGAGTACCCATGTTTAAAAACAAAATTAGCTTTTTATCAGTCTTCACAAAACAACATCAGTCTAGTTTTAAGATGTAGGTAAATAAGCTATTTAATAGTTCAAATATTCTTAAATAACTTAGCTGTCATAAAATTCTAAATAACAAATTATTAGTATTTTAATATTATTATAAGGTAGTAGCTAATTCTCTTTGTAACACAAAGCGCGCACACAAATACACGCACTTAAATCACTAGAAATCTTAAAGTGACAACTAATCTTTACCTACACTTACACTCTTTCTTTAAATCGTATTTTTCGATACAAGGAGCTAAACTTAATAGCTCCTCGAACTCCTCTTCCCTATTCTCAGGTATTTGAAGTTTATTGGGCTCCAGAACTCCGATAATCTGCATATTTGAGTGATTTTACCTAAGTTTTAAATAGTCCTTCACCCATAGTTTTCTACTAAACACGACAATAGTAAAGAAAAGAGTTCTTTACTACTAATAGTCATGTTTTTTTCGTCTTCAAAACGTCCAGTAATAAAATTTTGGCCCTTGTCCTACTACATCATGTAAAACATGACGATATATCGATATTAATCACGCAATAATATTGATAGTGTTTAAAAATATCGATTCAATAAATATATGTACTTTTTCACATCCCTATGACCGAGAAAGGGCGTAAAATCAGGGTAGTGTAATAACTCAGGTCCCTAATTAGGGGACACGCCCACCAGGGCCCTGATTCAGTGTAGTGTAATAGGGGCATTAATCGCAGTAAGGGTGTTTAAAGGAAAAAGTTACAAATTTGCAAGAAATACTAGATCTGCTGACAGAGACATCTTTGGTAAATAAGGAAAACAAACAGGTCTTAGAAAAAATAGGAACTGAAGAAAGCGAACTTTTAAAGAGACAATTCCTTAAAAATAAGACTGGAAAACTGCCCAGAACTAAATATTCTACAGAGTTAATGTGTTTCGCCCTAACACTTTATTGTTAATTTCGTTAACCTATCGCTATGTACGTAAAACTTTTTTGGAACGTGTTTGCCTGCACCGTGGACATTAACTAAGTGGTACAGTACAATCAGTCAAACGACATTAAAATTGAGAGAAATGTACTTTAAAATACATACATACACGTATGCAGTGCATTTTTGTGTATTAATGATTAGTTCCGACCCTACTTTAATTTATATTCTAAATTTCAAACAAACACTTCTAGAATTTAACTCAGAAAATCAAGACGTGAAATTGTGCCTCGAATATAAAAATCGCATGCGAAGCAGTTGCATCTAACCAAATTACATCAAGAGACACTGAATTGCAATTCGAAATCCTACAACGTATTATTATAAATATATTTAGGTATAATCTGTTAGACATCACACAGCTTTGTCAATTGTAGAAGAGAAAAGAAAAGTTAAGTATTTGCAAGCTTCTAGTGATTTTAGCTCTTCGCTAACTAAACTAGATCTCAAGCTATTGGTTCAAGAATATTTAAAAAATCTTGAGAACATTTGTTCAAGAGAGAGAGAGCTAGACATAGTGATGAACTAAGCGTAAGAACTTCATAAAATATTTCTAAAGCAATAGCCTAAAAGGATCAATAGAACATACAAATAATAGAATAAAATTTAAGACTAGCCAGCATATTAAAGTTCTCCAAAAAAGGAAGTTCACCAAGTGTTTGAGGATACAAATGCTCTCTATAATTTCTCTCTCTCTCTCTCTCTTACTCTCTCCCTCTCTGTATGTTAAGAAAACGGTCACTCATACATAGACTGAGCACGGCAAGTGCAGCTTAATCTCGCAGATCGATTTATCCGCGCAGCTGTTACTTAACCACGAGTTCCTCTTCTCTAAGACTATGTTGTAGGAGATAGACGCTAAGTCCTTTACACACTGTCGTCGCGCATCAAGCATAAATCGGGCATTGAGCGTTGTGAATACCAAATACTAAGGAATTTATACTATCCCGGAACACTGAACCGCGCCTCTCATGAGCGGGCGTCTGGCGGTGTTTCAGGAGCATTACAAAATATGTATACTTAACTACGCTAAATTTTTTTCATCGTGACTTGGGAATATAATCCGAAACTCCGCTCAACCCCTTGGGGAAAATAGCGTGATGCTATGAATATTGTACTAGTGTAACCGTGAGGTGCGGGTGATTAAGTAAGGTTATACATTTTTTTTGCTGGATAATTACTCATTTGGGTTCATAATGGCTTATACAAATTATAATAATAACAAATTATAAACAACGTGATTTTTTCTTTACCAAATATCAAAATTAACAATATAATTGAAAATATTCTATATTTTAGTCTTGAAAATTTACCTGTGAAATGTAGGATCATTTTTATTATTCAGACACCCTTTGAGTATTAA